CTATGCCCTAATTTTTGCCCTATTTTTGGCCGATTTCACCCTATTTTTGCCCTATTTTTGAGTGGTTGCGCCCTATTTTAGTGTTTTGGAAGGGGCCACCCTGATCAAAATGATATTCGACTGTATAATTAAATTCTTTTAAAGATTGATAGTAAAATAAACAAAAAAGAGAAGCTAACTTTGCAATTTGTTTCAAATTGCAATACAAATTCAAAACGGGAAAAATATATTGAGGAATTGAAAAAATATGCAGAAATCACACAAATGGGTTGGTGTGTTGGGAAAAATGATTGTGGGCGTGAATGTGAGGATAAATTAATTGGTATGTGGAAATTGACTATAATTAATTTGTTAATTAAGAAAATATTTAAATAATAGTTTGGGTGTTTGTATATGTATACATATTTCCTTGTATGTTTGAAACCAATTTTAAAACAAAAAAAAGTCTTATAAACTTGATAATCGGAACTAAAAGACCAAAAATTGGCTATAAGAAATTTTAATTGTTACAGTAAACTCCTTGAAGTCACACATTCAACACAATACATAAAGAAAGCTTTTTAATTTTCAGATTCCCATTTCTTTTATTTGGCCTTCGAGAATTCTGTTTGTGATGAATATTTGTCAGAAAAATTTTGGAGAATTAAAAAATTGATTGTCCCTGTAGTTTTGTCAAGAAAAATTTTTAAGAACGAAACTATTCCGAAAGACTCATTTATTGCGGCAGATGATTTTGCAACTCCAAAGGAATTAATAGAATTTCTAAAGGATGTAGCAGCAGATAAAAATCGTTATAAAAGGTAAATTAGCTTTAACTCTTACATATTCATCATTATAGATAATTGAGTTTTTAGACTTTATATTTAAAAGTTTGCAAAGAAGTTTAGACTTTTAAATAGAGTGGGACAAAACCGTTTAATTTTGAAAAAACCGTATACCGTTTATGCCGTTTATCTGAGACCCGTATACCGTTTCGTTTATTTTTAAAAACCCGTTTAAACGACCGTTTACCGTTTATTTTTAAAATTTTTTAAAAACAATTCATATTCAAAAAAAATCAATGAAAAATCATTAATTATGATCATTCCGCTTTATAAAAATTATAATTCAACTATAAATTAATCATATCGATGGATTTAGAGGGATAAGGAAGGCCTGAAGAGATGCCTGGTGATTAAGAGTGATATCAGTGGTTTTGGATATTTGGCGGATTTGAATATATATCAGAGAATTGAGGTGGGATATCGGTATATTATGAGTTATTAAAGGGGATCAGAGGATTAACAGATCAGAGGATTATTATATCTAAGGATTATGGTGATGTAATGGGATTTAAAAGGATTGAGGGGATTTGAAGAGATATCAGAGGATTAAGGTGGATATAATGTGATTTCGAGCGATTGAGGGATTTAAAGGGAAATTGGGGATTTGAAAGGATAATAAGGATCGTCCTTTTCAGCGCCGCAGGCGAAAATTTTGAAAATTTTGGAGGTCCTTAAGTCAGATTTCTCCCATCATTTTGCGCCGCAGGCGAAACCTTTAATAATTGAGAAAGTCCAACAGCTAGATTTCTTCCTTTTTTGCGCCGCAGGCGAAATTTTTTTGATTTTAGTGTGCCAGAAGATAAAAATTCACGTTTTAAGCCACTAATTCTAGAAAAAAATTAAACGAATTAAACGGCGTTTAGAAGGACCGTATACCGTTTATGCCGTTTATCTGGGACCCGTTTACCGTTTCGTTTAATTTTAGCAAAAAACCCGTTTATCGTATACCGTTTACCGTTTAGCTAAACGGTTTTGTCCCACCCTACTTTTAAACAAACTTAAAATGTTTGGAAAAAGTTTTACCCTGGGTAATTATTGTTTCGACCTCTCGGTGGAAGGGGTAATTATTCGAGAGGAGGTGTTAAATGTGTTGTATATCTCAATAAATTGAGGAGGGATTAATAAACTGTTTCAATAATTAAAATTGAAAATTATCTATTCAATATACATATTTGAGAGAGGGTAATTATTCGAGCATGTACATACATATAATAAAAAATTTCAGTTATTTTAATTGGACAAAAAAATTTAAACGAACAAAATATGCAAAAGAATTTTGGAATCCAACTTGTAAACTTTGTACTTCTTTACAACCTTTTTGTGATCTTTGTAAATTAGCACATACAAACAAAAAAGAATTGAGAATAAATAATATTTATGCTTTTTGGGATGGAGGAGGGAAGTGTTTACATGGTTATGCTGAAAATGTTCTTTTAAATTAGAATTTTAATTGTTTTTTAAATACGTGTATTTAATCCGTGCACTCGTCACACACTTTCAAATTCGTTCTGAGAGGATTATTTTTTAAGTTTTTAGATCGCGAAATTATTTATTTTCTCATTAAAAATTAATTTATATTTTATTCAGAATTATTTTTAGAAATTCTTTTAATTAAAACCAAGAACAACAAAATTTAAACTAAAAAAACAGAATTTTCAATTATAAATTTCTAAAACATTTTTTTTATTTTATTTATTTATGTTTCTAAATATTTCTTTATCTATTTATTTATAACATTTATATCAGGGATGGGCGAACTCAAAAAATAAAAAGCGAAATGCGAAACTTTTTCTAAAAAAATAAAATGCGGAATGCGAAACTTTTCGCGCCAAAAAATGCGAAAAATGCGAAATGCGAAATTATTTAAAATTCAAAAAATTTTATTCATATTCAAAATTATAAATTACGAGATTATGATGCAAAAATAAAAGCATTTCTGCATTTTCTTGAACAGATATTGGTGATTTGGGTATTAGTGTAATACCAAAGGATTTTGGGGTATTAAGTAGGATTATGTTGGATATCGAGAGATTTTTGCTGGCATATCGGGGATATTAGAGCATCTAAAGTATACGAAATCTATCTTAATCTATATCCTCCTTAATCCCACACCGTCCTTCTATATGCACATATATATCCCGATATCCCTCTTGATGCTCCCAAATCCTCTGATATCCATCCCATATATCTCACAATATCCGTCTTAATACCCAAAATCTCTTGATATCTCTCAAAATCCACCATATGCCTTACTCCCTTGATATCTCTCAAAATCCACCATATGCCTTACTCCCTTTAAATCTTTCGATATCCCTCTAAATCTACCGATATCCTCCTGACCGAGCTGGGTCTCAATAATCAAAGCTTGTTTCTTTGTAATTTTACTTGGACGGATATCATGAGATTCAGTGGGATATTCTCCCATTTTCAGCGCCTCTGGCGAAAATTTTGAGAATGTTGGAAAGCCAAAAAAGCCAGAATTCTTCCATTTCCAGCGCCGCAGGCGAAAATTTTAGAATTTTCTTAAGGCTCAAGTGGCAATTATGCTAGAAAAGAGAAATCTTTGGGAGAAAATTAACCCAGGAAAACCAGGAAAACCTACAATTCTGGATGACTGCCACGTAAATGTGAGATTAAAAATGTTGTTGGCGCACGTGGCGGGTAGTTTTTTGAAAAACTACAACTTTTGCAGAACGCTACTCTTCCAGAAAGTGAGAAATACTTCCATATTAAAGACATTATAATTTTAAAAAATTTCTTAAAAATAAAAAAAATACTTTAAGAAAAAGCGAAACAAATTTCGCATTTGGACCAAAAAGCGAAATGCGGAATGCGAAACTTTTCGCGCCAAAAAATGCGAAAAATGCGAAAGATGCGAAATGCGAAAATGCGAAATCGCCCATCCCTGATTTATATGCTTCTTTCATTCACATAATTTTTTAAAATAACTTTAAGTTGCTTTAAGTACATACTTCAGATCAGGGCTGGGCTCATTTCGCAATTTCGCGTTTCGCATCTTTCGCATTCTCGCATTTTTTGGCGCGAAAAGTTTCGCATTTCGCTTTTTGGTCCGAATGCGAAATTTGTTTCGCCTTTTTCATTTAGTATTTTTTATTCTTTAGATATTTTGACATAGAAATTTTTAAAGGAAAAGGAAAAGAAATACATATTTATAATCTGACACTTTGCTTTCGTTGGTTGATGGTGGAGTGGTTAAGTTGACTGACTTCGTTCACATTGGTGTTTTTGGGGGATGGGTTCGAATCCAGACATAGGAAATAAGACTTAAACAATTTTTTCTTCCAAAAATAAATTTTTAAACTTTAATTTTAAATTGTAAATTTGTTTTATAAAATATTAATCATATTTGGCACGACTCGAACAAGACTCGTAATATTTTTACCAAATTTATTGACAAAAATGGAGAAATCTGGCTTCTCGGCATTCCAAAATTTCTAAAATTTTCGCCTGCGGCGCTGAAAAAGGAAGAGATCTGAGGGGTTGTTCTTTCAAAATTGCCAAAATTTTCGCCTTCGGCGCTGAAAAAGGAAGAGATCTGACTTAAGGACCTCCAAAATTCTCGAAATTCTCGCCTGCGGCGCAGGAAAGGGATTTGAATTAAAATGGATATCAGTATATTAAAATGTGAAAAGATCGATGGTCCGGTGCCGGGCGCTAATCCGGTCCTGAGCCGGGCGCTAATAATAAGCAATCTTAAGAAGAGTCTTCTTAAAAAAATGCACTAATGCTTTTATTTTTCATCACAATCTCGTAATTTATAATTTTGAATATGAATAAAATATTTTTAAAATTTTTAATTAATTTCGCTTTCGCATCTTTCGCATTCTCGCATTTTTTAGCGCGAAAAGTTTCGCATTTCGCTTTTTAATTTTTTTAAAAAAGTTTCGCATTTCGCATTTCGCTTTTTATTTTTTGATTGCGCCCAGCCCTGCTTCAGATGTACTTTATCTATAAACTTTCATTTTTTAAATATATTCTTGCACCTATTAATATATTTCTTGTACCTAACAATTTTTATTTTTTTGTACGGGTGAGGGGCAGAACAAGTTTTTTAACAACAAATTCTGTTTTTTAAAATATTCTGATTTAAATAAATTTGATTTTAAAAAATATTTCGATTGGCTGTACTTTAGTACGTGGGTGCAGGCTTTAAATTACAAATGTTATATCATTTGAAAGAGCTAGTCGAGCTGAGTCGAATGCCACCAAAATTAGCTCTAGGAAAAATTTTTGAACCGAGATACAGGCGATTGAAAATCGAAAAACCATAGGGGGGACCAAGCACTTTTTTGGGGTGAAAAATTCGAAAATGCAAATTATACCTCATTCGAAAGAGCTCGTCGAGCTGAGTCGAATGACACCAAAATCAACGAAATCCGACTATATTGGACAAAGTTATGATCTTTTATTTTAGCTCCTTACCTATGGCATCTGTTGAGATTTTTGCTGCTACGGAGGCCCCAAATACGTCCAGAGCAAGGGATTTGGGAATAGGTTTATGTTACGAGCCCAGACCCAGCGCCCGTAGACTGCCCGCGAGGCGCGTGCCGCAAAACCCCGCGCGAAGCGCGGGGTTTTGCACAAGCGCCTCGCCAACGCTCCATAGGTTTAGGTTTTTTTGTTTTTTGTGTCATAACTTTGTCTAATCTTGTTCAATCACGGTGATTTTGGTGTCATTTGACTCAGCTCGTCGAGCTCTTTCGAATGAGGTATTATTTGTATAAAAAAATTTTTATTCTAAAAATCGCCCTTATGGATCTTCGATTTTTAGGGGTCTATATCTCGGTCCAATCAAGTCGGATTTCGTTGATTTTGGTGTCATTCGACTCAGCTCGACGAGCTCTTTCGAATGAGGTATAATTTGCATTTTCGAATTTTTCACCCCAAAAAAGTGCTTGGTCCCCCCTTTGGTTTTTCGATTTTCAATCGCCTGTATCTCGGTTCAAAAATTTTTCCTAGAGCTAAATTTGGTGGCATTCGACTCAGCTCGACTAGCTCTTTCAAATGATATAACATTTGTAATTTAAAGCCTGCACCCACGTACTAAAGTGACCCCTTTCGATTTTAACAGTGTTCTGACTTAAATAAATTCTGATTTTTAAAAAATATGATTTTAAAATTATTCCGTGTTCTGTCCGTTCCGTGTTATGGAAAGACCGTATTTTGTCTGTTCCGTGTTTTGGTATAGTCCGTATTTTGGTCGTTCCGTGTTTTGTATTTTCCATGTTCTTTTCCATGTTTATCCGTTCCAGAAGATAAATAAATAAAGTTTTAAAATTCTAATTGATAAAAACAATTTTTATTTTTTTTATATTTAATTTTTTTAATTTTAATTAATTACCTAATTGTATTTCATTATTCAATTATGTTTATTTTATTTTATTTATTTATTTATTTAAAAATAAAATAAGCAACAAAACGGGGTGAGCCATTTACATTGTTGCACTATATATTAATTTGTACTAATTACCCTATTTAGTCTACGGAGTTTTATTTTTATTGTCTATAAGTTGTTTATAAAAAATTAATGTAAATATCTTAACCGTTTCCAATATGTTTTGTAAGAGGGAAAATGCAATTGGTCTTAAGTCATTTTCGAGCCAATAGGGGTAGATTGGCACCCAAGGAGTCACGTTTGTTTGAGATAGGCATCTGATTTTTAAGAGAAATATACAAAACGCAAAAAATAAAATTAACCTGATTTTTAAGAGAAATATACAAAACGCAAAAAATAAAATTGTCTGTTTACTTTCTCTGAAAAAAAAAAGAATGATTTTATAGGTTAAAATGTAAATCAATAGGGAAATGGAAATTTATCAGAAATTGATCATAAATGTATAAAAACAAAAAAGAAAGATTTTTTCCAGTTTGAAAATTTTTTCAAAAGAAAGTTTCCATTTTGAAAGGTAAATTACATTATGTAAATTACATAATGTAAAATCTAAATTAGTAGGTTTCATAGTGTAGAATTTTAAGCCTAAACCAATATGTCAGGAGTACGAAATGGTAATTAATTAGAATATCTTAATATAGGATTTAATTCAATAGAGGTAAGAAAAGGAGCGTTTGAGAGGTAAATTAAAAGAAAACAGAGAATATGTAGATAATATTATGTGAAGTCGGTAAAAAAAAAAAAAGAAAAACTAAGCAGAAATCTATAAGGGTATTTTAGATTATAGTTAGTATTGAATAAATATATTTTGAAGTATATATGTTAGATGTAATTAGTAGATGACCCCTTATAGATTTTGTGCAAATAGACATGTCTTAATTTCTTTTTTAAAAATGGCAAGTGAGCCATATTTTGAGATAGAGCTATCTAGCTGATTCCATAGGTAGGATGACCTAAAGGAAAATGATTTTTTATGTTGTAACTTAGAACGTAAAGAATTTGGAAATGTAAATCTTTTGCTTCTATATGCCACATAGTAAGATGATGACTTTAGACAAGTTAGATTATTGATAATCTTAAATGCCATAGTAAGTTCTATGAACTTTCTACGTGATTCATGTGTTGGAATTTGAAGAAATGACAACCTTTGTTCATATGATATATAAGGTAATCTACATTTTTTGAGAACTATTTTGGTATAATATTTTTGGCATTTTTCAATTTTATTTATATCGGACATAAGATTGGGATTCCAAACCTCAGGTGAGTATTCCAGGAGTGGTCTAATATAACTCTTATATATATTTAACCACACTGTTATACGTCTTGATTTGATGTATTTAAAAAGCTGGTGCATCCTAAAATAGGCATTCTTAGTGATTTTATTGATATGATCGTTAAACTTTAACTTATTATCAATTAATATACCGAGATCTGAAATTGACTCAGTTTCAATTATTGTTTTATTTCCTAGTTTATATTGTTCTTTGGAGTTATTTTTTCCAATGCGACAATAAATGTTTTTTCTAGGGAAATTTCTAATCCCCAATAGTTGGTCCATTCTTCTATCAGTTTAACAGCATTATGTAGATCAAGCTTATCTTTCTTAGTTGTATGGAAGCAGTAAATTTTTAAATCATCAGCAAATAATTTAACTTTAATTGTTTTAGGAATTTTATCAGGGAGATCATTTATATATATTAAAAAGAGCAGCGGACCTAAGACAGATCCTTGCGGAACACCAGATTGAACTGGCTTTTCATCGGAATATGTTTTTTTATTTTTAACTTTGAATGTTCTTCCCTTAAGGAAGTTAGATATCCATTTCAGAAGTTTGCCTCGGATTCCAATTCGTTCTATTTTATACAAAAGGAGATTATGTGGAACCATATCAAAGGCTTTTTTAAAGTCTATGTAGATACAATCAATATTTTTGTTTTGAGTGATAGCTTCAAACCAGTCATCAATTGTTGATATTAGTTGAGTAGTTGTAGATCTTCCCTTGATAAACCCAAACTGATGTTCAGAGAAAAGGGAATTAACTATCAAAAAATCAATGATTTTTTGATTAATAATTTTTTCCATAACTCTGCATAGAGAACAGGTGAGTGAGATGGGTCGATAGTTATCAGGAGAGATTTTTTCTCCTTTTTTAAATATAGGTATAACAATTGATTGTTTCCAGAATTCAGGTATTTCTCCAGAATCCATAGATATTCTAAATAATTCAGTAACTGTAGGTGCTATTGAGAAATGGCATTGTTTGAGAAATTTATAACTTATTCCATCGGGTGATGTGCTTTCTTTATTAGGTAAACGTTTAAGAATGTTTCTGATATTGTTGACATCAAAATCTATATCATCAATTGTTGGAACAATTATATTTGAATTGCGAAATGTTTTACCGGATACTGGAATATCATAATTATTTTTATTAAAGCATATTGAAAAGTGTTCAGCAAAAGCATTGCTTATATTAAAATCATCATAGATATATTTCCCATTAACCATAATGATACTAATATCATGATGATTATCAGGGGAAAGTTTTCTTATATGCTTAAAAATATATTTTTTATCGTTAATGAGCATTTTGTTCTCTCTCCTTTCAAGTAATTGTTTTGTTTTATTTTTTATATGTAAAGAAATGCTTTGATATGCTTGTCTATATTGTTCAGGACGAGCTTTCATAAGCTTCCATAATTTCTTCCTTTCTTTTATAGATGCTAAAAGAGCGGGAGGATATTTCATTTTGATTCGTTTTTGGGCTGTACATTCAATTTTAGGCATAAATATATCAAGATAGCTTAATATTTCGGAAATAAACTTAAAATATCTTTGCTCCATTGTAAAACTGTTGTTTAATATTTGGGGGAAATTATTAATAAATTTGTGATTTAATAAGTTAACATTTTTTGTAGTATATTTTCGGATATAGTATTTTTCATTATTAGTTTTGCTAAATGGAATGTTGAGTGAAAAGAGAATAGAGCTGTGATCAGATGTAAATAGATTATGATCAATTAAAATGTCAGAAATCAAATCTGGTTTTCTACAAAATATAAGATCAAGATAAGCTTTATCTCGAGTGGGTCCTGGTACTAGATTAGAAAGACAGTTTTGATTAATAAAGTGAACAAAAATTTCAGCAATTTGAGTTTTAGGGTAGGGTATATTGGATATCCAATTTAGATCTTTTATACCAAAATTAAAGTCCCCAAGAAGAATAGAATTTTCACCCAATTTATCATTTAGAAATTTAAATAAATTTTTTGTGTTTTGCATAGAACATGTCGGAGGTCTATAAACAAGAATAAAAGTAGTATTTTTGGCGTTTTGTATTTGGACAATTAAAATTTGGCAGCTAAATTTGGATTCACTTAATCTTATAAATGCTTCATGTCTTTTATTTAAAAGAATTAAACACCCCCCACCTCTAGTTGGTCTGTTGCAAAAAAAGGAATTAAAATTTTTATGCAAAATTTCATTTGGAATAGTGTCACCCTTAAACCACGATTCTGTGATACACATGAGGTCAATTTGTTTAATTTGGGATATTAAAGCTATTTCATCTAATTTATTATAAATGGACCTGATGTTTATAAGGACCCCCGATATCTTACTAGTATTTGGTATATTACCAGCTTTAGAGGGGTTAATTATTTGAGATTGGGTTCCCAATGGCCCAATATTACCGTTATTACCATTAAGTACTTTTAAACAACTTATAGACATTAAGTAAAATTGTAGACTCTGGGTGGTATAATTAATACTTTTTATAGTGCTTATTATGTAAGTGCTCTCCCCGGAATAACAGTCAAAAACAAAATACGTAAAAAACAATAAATTTAAATTTTCATAAAAATGCGAAAAATTTGGGTCAAAAAGGTCTAAAATTTCCGAAAATTTGGGATTTCATCCCGTTTAATAACTTT